CTAGCGCGGCATGACCACGGATACATAGTCGTAAACCGTGGTCCTACCGGTAGTCAAACCGTAGGGACCACGTGCCCTTAATTGTTTATGCACCATACCATTGTATCAAGCCCATGGCAAGTTAAAACAGTCAAGTTAATCTGTCCGATGAGCCGTTTAAGGGAAATATAGGTAGTTACAGTTAAGTTTTTATTTTTAATAGATTCGATCCGCACCGGCCTTGCCCGGGGGAAATTTATTTTAATGCGATAAAATATTGCCTATTGCGTCAGACATTATGATAACAGGTTCAGTAGTTTATTCGTTACATACGTACAAAAATATAAAAATTAAAAATTTTCCTCATTATAGTATTACTAGCAACCCGCCCTCGTTTCGCTTCGGTGTGGAGCAGAAGTGTAGACTACAGTTTTTGTTCTCAGGCTTGTATTATACACAATGACATTCATCTATGATTCTTCTTATACCTGCATGCAAAGTCTCAGCCGGATCGTTTTAAAATTGACAAAGTTTCATACAAACTTTCATTCCCTATTTTATCCCCTTGAGGGTAGAATTGATCAAAATCCTTTCTTAGCGGATGCCTAAGTCATAACATCTACCTGCATGCCAAATTTCAGCCCGATCCATCCAGTGGTTTGGGCTGTGCGTTGATAGATCACTATGTCAGTCAGTCTCCTTTGAGTTTTATATATATAGATATAAAGACAAATTAAAATAGAATGTTTTAAAACCTACAACTATTAAGTATTTTTACATAAATGCCATCTTGATTAACTATATAATTTTAGCATTAGCCCTTGATGTGCCTATCTGTATTACTCTTTAAACTTTTATTTAATGTATTAATCTCTTGGGTAATGTTAACGTCTAACATTGAAGTCTTTTATGCTTTATGTCAGTGATGTCTTTATAAGCTGAATAAAGACTAGTTTTCTCAAGGCTTTGTCTTTATAACAGCTTTGCTGTCGAATGTGTAGCTATAAAGCTACACCAGTAAAATGAGATGAGTCAATGATCTTAGGGCATTTACAAGGTCTAAACTTATGCTAACTTGCTCCATATTTAGACTCCATTCAAGGCCGTCCCCCTTTGGCAAAACTGTATCTCAGAGAGCAATAATTATAGGATTGCTACTTTGACAATTTAAGATTGTTGGAACTCATAATAATAACTTTTCCTTATCTCTTTTCAAGAAACGATGATAAGTTTACTCCTTTAGAAAACAGACAGCTTTTACAACAAGTCAATCAAAAAGAATCGTATGAGGAGCTCGATGGCGCAAAAGGATAGCGTGTTCGGCTGCGATCGTTGAAGTTAAGTAACGGTCGCAGTAGTCGGTCATTGGATGGGTTATCAAAAATTTACTATCTCTCACTCCTCCGTGCTTCGGAAGGCACATTGAAAGTTGGTTCCGGCTGCATCTGAAGTAGGGCTTTCAAATACCGGATTTTTTCGATATGTTTAATACCGTAATCACGGGATCACGGTATTGAATATGAACTCAAAACCAAAGGATATTAAACGCCCGTTTTATTTCTAATCAGTCTTTATTACTGTTACATAATAGGTACTACATGAAAAACAGGCTAACAAAATATTAAACATACATTATTGTCGAAACGTCAATAAATAAATAAAGTTTCGTGCATTAACCCGTAAAAACTAGTTTTATTTAATGAGTGATGTGCGTGAAAACCTAAGAAACAAATATACATTATTGTTTTTACCCTTTCCGGTTAGTCTTTTATTAATAGTTCGGCGGGACTAAGAATTAAACTATTAAAATAAAAAATACAACAAAAATAGCGTCACATTTATTATATTATTAAACTTCACATGTCAATCATCACTTAAAAATAATTTATATGGGTAGATTACTTAACAATCATCTATTCATTTACTTTGTAACGTTCATATAATTACTAATAGCGGTGTAAGGGATTCTAAATACATCTGTAAAAACCCAAGCCAACCTCACCTTCACGTGGTGCACCCTGTTGACCAACAGACGAGGCTCTGGCAAACCGACCGATGGCGGTATAACCATCCAACGACGTAGGGGAGGAAAATCTCACTGGTGACGGGCAGCAGCGTCATCAGTGAATTAACCTACGTTCTGCGATCGCCAACCCGCCTGCCCAGCGTGGCGATTATGGGCAATACCTCAAATTCATAAAAAACACAAGCCACGGCTCCGCTTTTCCTGGTCACGGTGGCGACCACGGTAACGGCGGGGCCGAGGGTGCCAAGAATCTCCGAGCTACGGGAGGCTACCACAATAGACTGACCATGGCGACGTACAACGGACGCACGCTACGGCTTGACTCGCATCTAGCGCAACTCGAGATGGAACTTTGGAAGATTAGGTGGCACATTTTGGCCAACAGTCCCAAGGTGGCGTTGTGTTTTTGGTAAATAAGTCCCTTGCCGATAATGTTGTGGAAATGTCCAGCGTGTCGAACAGGGTAGTGTACATTATTATAAAGCTCACCGAGAGGTATAGCCTCAAGGTGGTGCAAGTATACGCACAGACCTCGACACACTCGGACGACAAGTGGAGGATATGTTCGATGATATATCGAGGGCCCTCCACTCTACTACTAAGACCCACTACAACGTTGTAATGGGGGACTTCAACGCTAAGGTACAAGAGTACAGAATTGCAGCGAATCGGTAGTAGGATCCCATGGATTTGGAAACAGAAATCATAGGGGGCAAATGCTCGTCAACTTCCTCGATCGGGAGGGGCTCTTCTTGATGAATTCTTTCTTCAAGAAACAGCCCCAAAGGAAGTGGACATGGCAAAGCCGCGACACTATGACTAAAAATAAGATCGATTTCATCATGACGAACAAGAGGTACATATTCAGAGACGTCTTCGTGATCAACAGGTTTAGTACCGGTAGTGATCACTGACTCGACCGGGGCTCTCTGAATATCAATTTAAGGGCCGAACGCGTCCGTTTGATGAAATCCAGGCTCCGACTTACTCTGCTCCAATCTATAACAGGATCTGAAGCATTACAGTTAAATCTGGAGAACCGATTTGCTGCCGTGGACACCACATCAGACGTAAACCAGAACCTCGAAAATGTGGTTCGGATCATCAGGGAAAAGGGTACGAGATTATGTGTGGGCAGTAAGTTAAAGCTTTCGGAAGAGATTTTAGGACTAGTGAAGGAGCGACGTGAAAATCCACCCGTCACTTCGTCGGCAAAGAGGACTCTGAACCAAGAGATTAGTAAGCACGTACGACACGACCTCCGGTGCTCCAATACTCTCTCGATCGAATCGAATCAGAATCAGAATCGAGGGTCCAAAGTGTTCCTACAATCTCTTGGAAGAAGCTATCTGACGAAGTTGACAACAGCAAGTGGGGAAGTTGTTGCTTTAAAGCCGGCAGTCCTTTCGGAAGTGAAAGACTTCTACGGCCAGTTGTACGCATCACATGCACCTCGACCCGGAAATGAGGATTCTAGAGCAACATTAACACGCCAAGTCAGCATTGGTGAAATCGAGATTACTTTTCAACAGCTTTAAAATGGAAAAAACCCCTGGAGAGGATGGGGTTACAACAGAACTCTTAAAGGCTGGAGGTATACCCGTACAGAGGGAGCTGGGCTGTTGATTAATTACTAATCAAACAATACTCAAAAGAAACGAAAATAAATGATAAACATAATCAATAACATCTTAAGATTTTGGCATTTTTTGCAACTGAAAGTGTGATCTTAAAAAGGACAGAGCGTTTAATGACTTGTCAGATAGCGAACTTCTCAATTTGTTGCATATATAGTTGACCGAAGAAAAAGCTCGCTCAGCTTCTACGCTTGAAGGCACTACAGATAGTAAATATTTGTAAGCTGCAGATAAAAATATTTACCCCTACCGGTTTCGAAGACACACATCTCTACTCTTATTATTGATTCAAAATCAGTGCCTCTAGCTAAAGTTGTACTTTAAGGTAATTTGGATATTACCCTCTCCAACTGTTTCTGGATAGACACATCGTCATCTTCAAGACTTGAATTTAACGATGACGATGAAGAAGAAGGTTCTTCTGTATGTTCTGTCAGTAAGTTAACGATAATTTCATGCAATTCATCAGATGTTAGTTTTTTGAAAAATGTCACCTTCACTATACTATCATTATCACTAAAAAAAGCTCACCCCCTACAACTTGAATCAGAGAAAATTAGGCATGAACGCGAGCCAGCGTGTTATCTATCTCGCTATGCCTAACATTTCATCTTATAGTCATATGACTTTAATAAAGATTTGTTGATTTGTAATACCGTAAAATCACGGTATCGACTGATACCAATAAAAAAAGCGGGATTACGGTATTACGGGATCCCGGAATACCGGTATTGAAAGCCCTAATCTGAAGTCGTTAGCACCCACAAAACCACACTGTGCCTGCGTGGTGCGAATGCAATCTCACTATACCATACATAGGGAAGGCCTGTGCTCCAGCAGTGGGGATATTAATAGGCTGTTATAATGCTACTGATGATGATGAACTATATAAAAAAGGTAAATTTAAAAAATCATAAACCCGACTGCTTATTTATTCTTCAAATAAAAACTGAAAAGAAAAAAACAAGTCCAGTAGTCTATAATTCTGTTAATAAGGAACAAAGCTACTTTAACAGTCGGGACCCATTAAATATTCAAGAATACATAATATTTTTCAACAGTGGGTCCCGACTGTTAAAGTAGCTTTGTGCCTTATTAACAAAATTATAGACTACTGGACTTGTTTTTTTCTTTTCAGTTTTTATTTGAAGAATAATTAAGCAGTCGGGTTTTTTGATTTTTTAAATTTACCTTTTTTATTTCACACTTTTTAGTTAGTATTTTAAGACGGTGTATACCGTAGTCTTGTTACTTCAGTAAGGGAATTAATATCGCGGGAATTATTAAGTACCTTGTCGTCGCGCTCTTGCATTGCGCAGCCGGGTAAAAAGTCAGTGTCCTCTATGCGTATGTTCCAGTTAACATTCCCACGGTGTCGCTGGGCCTGGCGATGGGGTGGGTGTCCCTGGCGAGCGGCGAGCGGAGCGGCGGCGGCGAGGACGGCGGCGAGGCGGGCGGCCGGGTGGTGGCCGCCGCCGCTACTACGTTCCTGGCGTCGCTGGTCGGAGTGCCGCTGAGCGCGCGCGCTCTAGCAAACGGCAGGAAATTCGCTGTCATCGCTACCTCCGCTTGCTTTCTCGTACGTATTGTTATCTTCCTAATAAATCCTAATCCTTAACAAGATTCTTAGTATCTAGCCGCTAACCTACCGTGAATGCAAAAACAAGCTGACGGTATGGCTGAACAACAAATTTTTTATATAGGTATATAAATTTAAATCTATGTATAGAAAAACAATTTTATATTAAAAAACCTTCAAAATACAGTATGCATATAGATGTATATATTATATGTATAGACATACACACACACGCATATACACACACACACACCCACACACACACACACACACACACATGCATAAACACCCCGCTTAGTTTGTTTAAATTGTATTTTTGTGTAATTTAGAAGTGCTTTGATTAGCGTGAGTTGCACCAACTTATTTTAACGTAAATTTCCATTTAACTTAACTAGCTCTGTGGTGTAACTCACAATATAATATATTAAATCTTAATAAAATGAATGACCTTACCATAATGTAACACATGCTATGGAAGAGTGGTTCTTTTTGGTACAGGTGCCTTACACTTAAAAAAAAGAGCCTAGGTACCTTTATCTATGTAACCAGATGTATGGTAAAGAAATAAAACAATTTAGAATTTTTGAATTTTGAAATCCTGACTCTGCCTTCGCTGTACATTTATGAAGTAGCTGTTTTTGTGTTATGTAACAATTCTCTGTTTCCGACACTCTCAGAAAGGAACCCTGAACGAAATCATCGTCACTGGAATAGGAAGAAATAAAACAATTTAGAATTTTTGAATTTTGAAATCCTGACTCTGCCTTCGCTGTACATTTATGAAGTAGCTGTTTTTGTGTTATGTAACAATTCTCTGTTTCCGACACTCTCAGAAAGGAACCCTGAAAGAAATCATCGTCACTGGAATAGGACTTGCGCTCCTTCTTATAAAACCGTACACGTTAGTGGTAGCTTCTTTGGGATGGCTCACAGAATATTCAACAAGGTTCCGAGTTGTCTTAAATCACTACCTATAAAGACTTTCAAGAAGCGTCTGTTAGCATTATTAGTTGAAAAACCCTACTATACAGTTGAGGAATTTTTAAATGACAAATCCTGTAATTAAATCGGACATGTCTGTTATAAAAGCAATTCTCTATTAAAAATTTTAGACATATTAGAATTGACAATCCTGTTAAGAAATGTGTATTTATTACAATTTTGGACATTTTGCTAATTTTTCCATTAAAATTTTGACTATTAGTATGACAACTTTATATTTATAATCTACTTTGACATGCATGTAACAATAGACAATTTCAAATTATATTCATAAATTGTGATTCCAATGTAAAAATAATAGTACTTCTTTCATAGGTCCATATCTATTTGTATACCTTAATTAAGGTGGAAATGTAGTGATACTAACAAAAATTTTATATACCATGTATACTAACCTATGTTTCACAAATAAAATTCTGATTCTTCTCCATTCTTCTACGCGACGTGAGGGTGTCTTGCCGGATTCAATCCAGGCCAGCCCCGCTAGAAACACCCCCAGGGCCTTCACATTGTTTGCTTCATATTATTTTATTAATACTCGCATACTAGCGTTTGCCCCCGACTTCGTCCGCGTGGACTTAGTGATTCTGGTAGCAAATATTTACCAAATCTACTTTTTCATCAATCTGCTTACTTTTAAAAAAAAAATGGTTGCCTGTAAAGTCGGTTTTACGGGCGAAGATTTTACGTGACAACGTCTTTTTCTCGGTAGAATATTTATTGATATGAATATAATTAAATTGCACAATAGGAACAAGGAATTGAATGAAAATAAGAATTGCACAAATTTTAACTATAGAAATATATTTTGTTTACTAAAACATTGTACATGTAAACTTAAACTTAACACGAGAGACTCATCGTAACGTTACCGAGCGTTACACTTTTTCATAAGTGACTCCCAGCCGCAACCTGATTTAAGACGTTGTCACGTCAAAAAATATAAAGTTAGTGGTTTTATAAAATTTAAATAACTTTACAATTCGAGGTATATCTTTTCCCTGCGACTTATTTGTGGTCATGGCGAAACAGATCTCCAGGGGAACCGGGAGCCTTTTGAATTCAAAGGGGAAATCATTTGATATTAATGGAATACGTGATACAAACACCGTTTCTCCCTGAGCAGGTCCGGTACAAATTGTGACTTCTTCTACATTCGGGTGCAAAGCTTTGACTTGAAACCTAGTGCCGTTGGAAAGTTTGGGTGGCTTTAAATTTCTTAATAACATAACAGGTGTACCCACACGCAGTAAAAGTCTGTGGTATGGCGGACCTGGTGAATTCAAAGCTTATTATCTTTTAAAGGAGTTCAGTAATAAATCATTAATGACCGCTGCTTGTTCGTTCTTAAGTTCGTTCGATCGTTCGTTCTTTAAAAGATCCGAAAATTGGCCCGCGGAAACATTATCTCCAAGGTGGATTCTCATATGTTGTATTAATTTTAAAATTTTTACTGATGGCCACAATGATGATATTTTAATATACGGTTATATCTCATCGGCACATGTTTCCCTTGGAACTACCGGTAAAGTTTGACGAAAGTCTCCTGCAAGCAATACAGTCAAACCACCCATCAAACTTTCGTTGCTGCGTATGTTTAGTTCTATTCAAAGCTTCTATACTATAGTATAGGTTATAGGCCTTAGTACCCCCATCACGTGCGACTCTTATTTTCCCCAAAATCAAATTTTTGTTTTGCCGGTTCCTCCTGTGGAGCATCTGAAAAAAAATTTGGTCCTCACTTGCATTCGCACTTCTTACTATTTGTTCGTATGCTGACTTTTGTTTTTGTTGTCCTGCTTGTTTGTGGTAAGCCGTACTCTTTTAGGTAAATTTAATGCCAGGCCATCCATCGACGTGCACTCCACGTTTCCTCCTTTGGAATCGTGAATTAGTCCAAACATGATATGCTGGTACTAAATAATTGATATAAAAGGGTTTTTGCAAAATCATCAGTACGACACAACTCAAAGAAGGCAAGAAGTGTAGTTTTTGGTTTGTAACTTTATCTGCGAGGTTTTGCTGATTAAAATAAACTCTTTGGCCATTTTCCAGATGAACGCAAGATGACACACGGTGGGGAAGCGTTCACAATCGGAAATTTAAGAATTCGCTATACCACCTCCCACTTTCGTAGATCTTTACTTCAACTTTTTCATTTTCTAAAGCAAAAGTGGCCTGCTCGGATCCTTTATTTATGTGTTTGCTAACGTATTTTATTGATTTAACAGAGTGACAGAATTCGACGTTTATATGCGCGTTAAATGTTCTCAAAAGAACTGGACTATATGGAACTACCCAGCAGTTATCAATCTCTTCTCCATTAATGACATCCACCTATGTCTGGAGAAAGTCTTCCATATTGCGGGTAGCCGTTGTCCCCGGTTTGTTTCACTCTTAGAGAAGTTTTTTGAAGTTATACTTCTTTAGGCGCGTTATGAAAAAATGATGACAGTGAAATTTTAAGATGCGCGCGCATCACTGTAACACAAAATTTTAACAGCATGAAGTTGCGTTACTTTTGTGTTTACCGCACATTAAGAAAATCTACCAACTAAATAGAAATAGAATCTCTATTTAGTGGGTGCTAAGGACTGCATTGTGAAGGCCTATCAAAAGTATTTATTAATCTGGAACAACGGAACCAACGCGCGATTCAGGAGACTACAGCGCCATCTCTTGACCATTGGTGTAGTAGAACCAAAAACCACATCTTTATTTTTTGTAATAAAGTAACAGTTATAGGTATTCATATTTATAATATCAAAAGTATTTATTAATCTGGAACAACGGAACCAAAGCGCGATTCAGGAGACTACAGCGCCATCTCTTGACCATTGGTGTAGTAGAACCAAAAACCACATCTTTATTTTTGTAATAAAGTAACAGTTATAGGTATTCATATTTATAATATTTATCCACATGTTTCTAGTTTGTATATTCGGAATACGTGTTTGAGTTTCATACAAGTGCAAATCACATATGTTCTAATAAATTATATTCAGTAGCGATTTTAATTGAATATTTTGATTATTTATTTATTTTTTCAAATTAAAACTGAACTTTATTGACTGTGTCCTTTTCCAGACTTTTTATTAATTTATTGTAATTAATTATTTGCATGCAATTAAAAACTAATTTTAAACGATGCCAAAGAAGGATAACTTCTCACGCGCCTACATAAGTACACGCACCCATTTTTTTTTCATACATGGTGACTTATAATTAAAACTTCCGCATGACCCATGTGTCATATTAGACTTTAGTATTTCGACACCCTCAATCCCCTTTTTAAGGGGTAGTTCAGGAAAAAATTATAAACTTTATTATTTATTTAGATAGTCTTTGTGCCAATTTTCAAGTCTATTCATCCAAGGAATAAGATTTTTCATACAAACTTACATCCACTTTTATACCCCTCAGGGGTAGAATGTCAAAAATCTAGATACATATTACTCTTTATTTCTGATCTCAAGTATAAATACTGAGTTTTGTGTTAATAGAACGCTTTAAAATTATAAAACTCTGGCACACCTCGGATTTAATTCTATTAAGTCAAAGAATAAGATTTTTTATACAAACTTACATCCCCTTTTTACCTTTTTATTTTCTTTGGGGTAGATTTACGAAAAACTATGATACACGTTATTCTTTATTTCTGGTATTAAGGAAAAATACAAAGTTTCGAGTTAAACGAAAAGCGCGTTAAAATTAATCCATATAAAAAATTCGACACTCTCCTTTTAGGTATTTTATGAAAACTAAAAATTACGAACTTCTTAATTAATTTATGTAGGTATTCTTGCCAAGTTTTAAGTCTATTAACTCAAGAAATAAGATATTTCCTACAAAATATCATCCTTTATTTTAACAACTTCGGGAGTGAATTTTAGCTAGACCGACGTGTCAAATTTGAAGTCTCTAGACCTAGCGGTTTGGGCTGTGCGTTGATATGTCAGTCAGTCAGTCAGTTTCTTCTTTTATATATTTAGATAAAAGTCCGAGTAAACGACTTCACCCCACCAGATGTTAAGTGACTGCCAAGTCCAGGCGCGAAGATAGCTGGTACAGCAGTTCTACCTGTCACACCAGCCATCCTCACCTTGCCGGCCTACATGTTGCTTCTTCACCATGTCTTCGCCGGTCATGGGCTTGGTGAATTTATCTGTTCCAGCCATACCCGTGCCCCAGCAGTAGGACCTAAACAGGGCGATGATAATGTTTGTGCAGTGTCTTGTATCTGGAAGGTTAATTAAAGATTGTTGATTATATCCTACAGGTGTGCTGGGCCCTGAAGCTGGTGGGCGGCGGCTGGTGGGTGGTGTCGGCGCGCGTGGCGGCCGGGCTCGGCGGCGCCGGCGCATTCTCCATACCGCCGCTCGTTGCTAGAGAGGTAACACTACTCCATACCACTCATATAGAAGCAGAGTCGCCAACAGTGTTGCTCTATAGCAGTGGTTCCTAACACGGTGGAGCACCCGAAGTGGACCGCGAAGTCATTCGAAAAATACATAAGTAAGAACGCATGCGTATATTACTTCTGATCAATTAAGGGCATATTTAATCTGGGACCAAGAGGGTCATGACCTTTTTTTTATACGCAGGCAAAAAATACTATTTACAGACGACGGCGGCTTTAAGAGGCACACCGCCGAACGGACCTCACACCTGGCTCCCGCAAGCCTTACGAACCCCATCATTGGCTGCCCACTGAGGACCATGTAAACCTTACGGGCGCTTTACGGCATAATAACCGCTAAAAACCCTGCGAACACCCTCTAAGCTGCTTAGCGCGAAGCCGCGGGAAGAGGGCCATGACCTGATGCGACAGAAGCCAAAAACAGGCATTTTACTTTTTTTTTTAATTTGTTTTATATTTTATAGGGAAGGGGGTGCGAATCGTAATGTTCCGTAGCAAACCGGAAATTTCGACAAATGTTTTTCCATCCCTAAAAGATTGTGAGCCACTGCTTCATAGTATAGTTGGTTTTTACTCGGTATCAGAGAGAACCATTCTCGAGGTGATTCTTTACCTTTCAAATATCTGTGGGCAAATAATGATTGCAGCCAATGCAATGTTGTATTGCTTTCCGCTCATATTATGCCACTAATCGAGCTGGAATAATTAAAGCACAGTACGAAAAGATGCGGCAGTAACATGAAAGCATAAAAGAACCTTTTTTCGTTTTTCTTCACTTCGAATGTGATATGTGCTCAAACTTAAAAATAAATAGTGACCGGGATGATGTTTGGTAGATGTGTGAGGCGAGCGTGCACGGCGCCGCCTCCTCGGCGCTCATCCTGGCGCACAACCTGGGCTTCCTGCTGATGTATCTCGCCGCCGACCTTGGATTACAGCACAAGTAAGACAAACGAACAGTATTTCAATAAAAACGATTCTTTACTTTATAGCTCTTACGCTCTTAGAGCGTGCGCTGCGTTAAGCGGGGCATGGAGCGGGCGTCCGCTGGGCGCTTTGTTTCATGATATCATAGAGCAGCGCTGCGTGAGGTGGGTCTTCCTCGCCGCGGGTCCCTATGAAAATCTGCACGCCCAGCGTAAGCCCACTCCGTGCCCCGCTTAAGGCAGTGCAGGCACTTAGGATTGTTCCAGGTTCCATTCTCAAATAAAATAACCCATACCACCACAAATCCAGGCAAGCCGTTCCTACCCGAACAAACTATATTTGGCTGCACCGCGACATGGGCGGGCCTCGATGTGTCAGCGTCATGTCAGTCTCCAGACTGCCTATTCCATATTTGTCAAAGTTGTCTGGCTTGAGCTTACTCTGCTGTGGATACACCAGAACGTCGTCATGATAGCATTATCCTCCTAATATGTGTATTGTATTGGCAGCACGGTTGCATGGGCGTGCCTGGGCGTGTCGGCGCTGCACTGCGCGCTGTTCCTGTTTGTGCCGGAGTCGCCGGCCTTCCTCTGCGCCAACGGAAAGCAGCAGGTAACATATTATATTATTTGTAGTAATTAGCTTTCACCAATCAGCATTATTGATGTTGTCCATAAGAAAAGTCTGCGTTCTAAATAAAGGCAGCTTGAATGGGTTCCGACTAACTAATAGTATGGAAAATTTTCATGGTCACTAATATAGCAATTAACGAGATTACCTACTTACTATCTTATTTTTTGTGAGTCCCTGATATGTTACCACTGGTACTCCGTGATCGCAAAAAACAAGGAACAGAGAAGCAATCCCGCTGATAAATATAACAGTATATGGAAAGGTTTCAATATTCGAGAGTTAACTTGTACTGAGGGATTGAGGAGCTCGATGGCGCAAGTGGTTAAGCAATTTTCGCAGTGGTCGGTCATTGGATGGGTAACCAACATTTAATCTCTCAATCTTCTCCATGCTTCAGAAGATCCGTTGAGCCGTTGGTACTGGCTGCAACTGCAGTCGTTAGCATCCACCGAACTCCCAATTTCCCTGTCCCATCCAAAGTAGGCCTATGCCCCAGCAGTGGGGATATCAATAGGCTGATGATTATAAAGTTCTATTTGATGGTGATCATGACGTTAGGAAGCAGCGGCGTCATTGGCGTGGCTGCGTGGGCTACCGGTGGGGCACCCGGCACTGTCTGCCGAGCTGGCCGCACTGCCGCCGCCCGACCCCGTGCCCCTCACTCCCTTCGCGCTGCTTAAGGATCTGCGTGAGTAACTACACAATGACTGCGTGGGCTACCGGTGGGGCACCCGGCGCTGTCTGCTGAGCTGGCCGCGCTGCCGCCGCCCGACCCCGTGCCCCTCACTCCCTTCGCGCTGCTTAAGGATCTGCGTGAGTAACTACACAATGACTGCGTGGGCTACCGGTGGGGCACCCGGCGCTGTCTGCTGAGCTGGCCGCGCTGCCGCCGCCCGACCCCGTGCCCCTCACTCCCTTCGCGCTGCTTAAGGATCTGCGTGAGTAACTACACAATGACTGCGTGGGCTACCGGTGGGGCACCCGGCGCTGTCTGCTGAGCTGGCCGCGCTGCCGCCGCCCGACCCCGTGCCCCTCACTCCCTTCGCGCTGCTTAAGGATCTGCGTGAGTAACTACACAATGACTGCGTGGGCTACCGGTGGGGCACCCGGCGCTGTCTGCTGAGCTGGCCGCGCTGCCGCCGCCCGACCCCGTGCCCCTCACTCCCTTCGCGCTGCTTAAGGATCTGCGTGAGTAACTACACAATGACTGCGTGGGCTACCGGTGGGGCACCCGGCGCTGTCTGCTGAGCTGGCCGCGCTGCCGCCGCCCGACCCCGTGCCCCTCACTCCCTTCGCGCTGCTTAAGGACCTGCGTGAGTAATTACACAATGGCTGCGTGGGCTACCGGTGGGGCACCCGGCGCTGTCTGCCGAGTTGGCCACGCTGCCGCCGGACCCCGTGCCCGAAGGGAGTGAGCCCTTCGCGCTGCTTAAGGATCTGCGTGAGTAATTACACAATGGCTGCGTGGGCTACCGGTGGGGCACCCGGCGCTGTCTGCCGAGTTGGCCACGCTGCCGCCGGACCCCGTGCCCGAAGGGAGTGAGCCCTTCGCGCTGCTTAAGAACCTGCGTGACACTAGCTGACATACTGATAACATGTGAACCATAAGGAAGAATATACGCATCCATCAAGTTTTCCGAAAATATCATTGTTATGACCTGAGCATTCAGCTAAGACTTTACGCTTTCAGTATTGCAAAACCAGTAATCAAACATTTAAACTTATTTCAATATCTCCCGTCTTGTATATTCCCTTCTACCATACTGAACTGCTGTATAAAATTAAAGTAGCACACATGTAGTTTAGATCTAATTATTATTACGTGGAAGTAAAGTAGTTTTCGTAATGCAACGTGACTAAAAACGAATGATCTTATGCTCCTCCGTGTTTCAGAAGGCATTTTAGTTCCAGCTGCATCTACACTCTTTAGCACCCACCAATTTGCATTAGGCCCGTCATAGCGCATTCTTCCTATGTCATGCTTAGGAAAATCCCGTGTCCCCAGCAGTGGGGACAAATAATAATGAAGATAGTTTATTATTACAGTAAAGGAGCAAGGTCGTCGTCGCGCCTTCATCATCAGCTTCGTGGCGATAGTCGGTCAGGAAGCATGCGGAGTGTACACTCTCATGCAATTCGCCGAACGCGCGTTCGTCCTCGCTCGAGACGCCGGCGTAGAAACCGCAGTACTGACAGCAAACTCCACGGGAGTTATCGCAAACGAACATGGAAACGGAACGATCAGCGTCTCCACTGATATCTCAGCAGGAGATTGGTCTAACGCCACAACAGACGTGTCGAGTAGTGAGATAGTGCTGCTGTCTCCGGCGCGGCAGGCTGTCATCCTTGGAGCCGTGCAGCTGGTCGCTTCCATGATAGGGCTGTATTTGGTCGAAAAAGTTGGGCGGAGGGTAAGTTAAGTTTAGGGTAATTTTATACCCATAACTGTTACATATTTTGTTATGCCAAGAAGGTCTACTATAGTGGGTAGGAATAAGCTTCAGGTGGCAATGGTGGATCCATAGCCCGGAGATGGGAAACCCTAAACGTATGGTGGTGAGTCATTAATGAAAAATGTCGTCCCTGCAAAATAAAAATCCTGGATTCACCACTAGGGTGAAGAAACCTTTTTGTTCTTTTGTGGGTTAACAAATAGGCATACAATCATTATAACATAATATGCAATACAGTAAATATTATTGAAAAAACTAGGTGTAATTTAATATCTTCTTAGTGTGAAAATGACTACACTTAGTTCAAATTGAACCGTCTGAGACTTTAGTAATCGAGTAGCAACAGAAATAATAAAATCCATATAACATTTTTGAATTTGGAGTCTCGTGAATCGTTTTAAAAACACGTTTTAAGAACTCGCCTGATAAAAATAAAACATATAAATACGAAATATAACCTATTTGCTACAAGGTCAATATGATCAAAAGTTTAGTTATTGCGAGTACATTACGGTGAACGTTCGCCTTATCGAACTCCTAAAAGCATGTTTGTTTCGATAGCGGCTGCTGGTGTGGGCGGCGGTGGTGACCGCCTTATGCCTCGCGAGCGGCGGGGCGGCCGTGCTGGCGGCGCGCGGGGCCGGGGCGGGGGCCGGGGCGGGGGCGAGCGCGGGGCGGGCGGCCGCCGGGGTAGCGCTCGCCGCCGCGGTGGGAGCCGACAGCGCGGGGCTGCAGACCGCGCCCTACGCGCTGCTGGCCGACATGTTCCACTACCAGGTACTGGCGGGGCGGGCGCGGGGCGGGCGCGGGGCGGGCGCGGGGCGGGCGCGGGGCGGGCGCGGGGCGGGCGGCCGCCGGGGTAGCGCTCGCCGCCGCGGTGGGAGCCGACAGCGCGGGGCTGCAGACCGCGCCCTACGCGCTGCTGGCCGACATGTTCCACTACCAGGTACTGGCGGGGCGGGCGCGGGGCGGGCGCGGGGCGGGCGCGGGGCGGGCGCGGGGCGGGCGGCCGCCGGGGTAGCGCTCGCCGCCGCGGTGGGAGCCGACAGCGCGGGGCTGCAGACCGCGCCCTACGCGCTGCTGGCCGACATGTTCCACTACCAGGTACTGGCGGGGCGGGCGCGGGGCGGGCGCGGGGCGGGCGCGGGGCGGGCGCGGGGCGGGCGCGGGGCGGGCGCGGGGCGGGCGCGGGGCGGGCGGCCGCCGGGGTAGCGCTCCTGGCCGACATGTTCCACTACCAGGTACTGGCGGGGCGGGCGCGGGGCGGGCGCGGGGCGGGCGCGGGGCGGGCGGCCGCCGGGGTAGCGCTCGCCGCCGCGGTGGGAGCCGACAGCGCGGGGCTGCAGACCGCGCCCTACGCGCTGCTGGCCGACATGTTCCACTACCAGGTACTGGCGGGGCGGGCGCGGGGCGGGCGCGGGGCGGGCGCGGGGCGGGCGCGGGGCGGGCGCGGGGCGGGCGGCCGCCGGGGTAGCGCTCCTGGCCGACATGTTCCACTACCAGGTACTGGCGGGGCGGGCGCGGGGCGGGCGGCCGCCGGGGTAGCGCTCCTGGCCGACATGTTCCACTACCAGGTACTGGCGGGGCGGGCGCGGGGCGGGCGCGGGGCGGGCGCGGGGCGGGCGCGGGGCGGGCGCGGGGCGGGCGCGGGGCGGGCGCGGGGCGGGCGGCCGCCGGGGTAGCGCTCGCCGCCGCGGTGGGAGCCGACAGCGCGGGGCTGCAGACCGCGCCCTACGCGCTGCTGGCCGACATGTTCCACTGCCAGGTACTATCATCATCGCTGTACAGCGGGCGCGGGGCGGGCGCGGGGCGGGCGCGGGGCGGGCGGCCGCCGGGGTAGCGCTCCTGGCCGACATGTTCCACTACCAGGTACTGGCGGGGCGGGCGCGGGGCGGGCGCGGGGCGGGCGCGGGGCGGGCGCGGGGCGGGCGCGGGGCGGGCGCGGGGCGGGCGCGGGGCGGGCGCGGGGCGGGCGCGGGGCGGGCGCGGGGCGGGCGCGGGGCGGGCGGCCGCCGGGGTAGCGCTCGCCGCCGCGGTGGGAGCCGACAGCGCGGGGCTGCAGACCGCGCCCTACGCGCTGCTGGCCGACATGTTCCACTGCCAGGTACTATCATCATCGCTGTACAGTATATATACAACATAACATAACACAGCATAGCAGTTATAATTAATAAAGACATGATCCATTGGTTCCGAAGAGCTTTCGAAGAGCTCGATAGCGCAAGTGCTTAGCTCGTTCGGCTGCGGTCGTTGAAGTTAAGCATTTTTCACAGTGATCGGTCATTAGATGAGTGATCAAAAATTTACTGCCTCTAGGTTCTCCGTACTTCGGAAGGCATCTTAAGCCATTGGTCCTGGCTGCATCTGCAATCTTTAGCACCCATCAACCGACACTGGGCCCGCGTGGTGGGTCATGCCCCAATCTCCCTATTCTATTCATAGGAAAGGCCTGTGCCCCAGCAGTGGGGACATCAATAGGCTGATGATGATGATCCATTAGTTGGCACATGTAGAAAAAATGTGTACCAAGGCAGATATACAATGCGACAGCAGAAAGATGCAAAAGCCGAGGAAGGCCGAGAACGCAACAACCAACCAAACAAGGTTGGCATTTTCCAACAACAAACCTGATTTTGCTAATCTAGCGGAAAATACTCAAATACAATGCTCACAGTAATATAAATAAGTAGTTACTAAAGCTTATAATTCAGTTTTATGTTTGACCTCTTAATAAAATAACAAAATAGTACATAACAGTGTACAAACTGTGCTGTGCGGTTTCATTTAAGATTTCAAGAAATATGTAATTGGTAGATCGCGTAGGATTTCCACAGTAAACAGGAGATCTTGGGTCTAAATAAGTCGGCCACCCCTGATATATCCCGTAAACCATATCCCGAATACCCACAAAAGATATCAGTCGTTGTTAGTTCTAGTCTATTGCTCGCAGGTAACGCGTCATTACGCCATTACGCCTCCGGCTATACGTTCATTTTATGACAAAACGTAACTCAGAAAATCTTTGTTTATTTCTTCTTAGTAGGTGATAAAAGAATGCTATATTTTTTTGGATTCCGTGTTCATTCCAATGTTCCGCATTAGGAGTCAAGGCTTAATTAAAATAATAATAATTTCATTTATTTAAGATTACATGGGTCTATTGTAATCTTGTAAGTTGTTTATAACAATTGATACTTCATTTGTATGTTAAATCATCATTGAGATTATATGTTTAAGGTGGTTGAGTAACAATTTTTGTCGTTAAGAAACTTCAAAACTATTTCATCGATTTCGATTTAGCTTTATGTGAGTAATTTGGTCCTATCATAGACACAGATTGACTGAGGGTTCCCTTTCCAACACTAAAGCAAAACAAAAGCAAGTGTGAAAGAGATGAAACGATCGGGCAGTCCATAGTTCTTTTTTTTTGTTGTAGTTCTCCCGTTTCAGGGAAGGCAAAGGGAACAATGCCCATACAGCCTGGTATTTATTAATTATAAATATTAATCTTCTTTTTGTTTTTACATTAGAATGTCGGTGTGACGCATTCTAATGTTTCTTGGATCCATAGTTCTTATAGGAATTGGTTGTTTTTTTTCCTTTCCTAAAAGTTCTCATTTGCATGCGAGAATCGCCTAGTCCAGGAATGGACAAACTTTTCTACATCGTGTCAGTACTGTAACGTCCTTGACGTTATAACCTCCTTGTTTAGGTAAACTCTTTGCTTTTGCAATGCCTACGGTTGGCAGTTATATTAAAAAAAGTTAATGTCATGATTTTAAGATTTGAAATAAGGAATCGTCTGTCTTTTGATAGAAGGTTCCATTCTAGATTAGATCTTCAGGCACCAAGAACTTCCTCTCGTATTTAGATAAAATTTCTTTATATTCGCCTGAATGATAAAAAGAAATAAATAATTTATCTCTACCAGTATCGTTTAATTAATAAGCACGTCCCCAGGTTCTATCCATTCTGGGTAGAACTCTATAGTACTTACAATCAGAATTTATGGGCTGTCGAAGTTTTGCTAAAATAGGTATTCTGTAAGATACATTTCGTATTCGTAACTTCCGATGTCATTTATTCGGATTTCTGACAAATGTCAAATATTGACCGGCTTCTACAGACTTAGCATCTTTTTCTATGTAATGGCGTAATGCATATTAAACTAATGTCTAAAATATTATAGCAGCTATCGAAATAGGGAGTGGGATTTTATATTACAGAATCGCCCTACAATTACAATTTTCATCCAGAATTTGTAAATTAAATCAAAATATAGCTCAGTAACGAAAGCCCCTAAATACGCCCCTGAATTAGATTAGCGACCAACTTCATGAGTTACTTTTGTGTTTACCGCACATTAAGAAAATCTACCAACAAAATAGAAATAGAATCTCTATTTAGTGGGTGCTAACGACTGCATTGTGAAGGCCTATCAAAAGTATTTATTAATCTGGAACAACGGAACCAAAGCGCGATTCAGGAGACTACAGCGCCATCTCTTGACCATTGGTGTAGTAGAACCAAAAATTACATCTTTATTTTTTGTAATAAAGTAACAGTTATAGGTATTCATATTTATAATATTTATCCACATGTTTCTAGTTTGTATATTCGGAATACGTGTTTGAGTTTCATACAAGTGCAAATCACATATGTTCTAATAAATTATATTCAGTAGCGATTTTAATTGAATATTTTGATTATTTATTTATTTTTTCAAATTAAAACTGAACTTTATTGACTGTGTCCTTTTCCAGACTTTTTATTAATTTATTGTAATTAATTATTTGCATGCAATTAAAAACTAATTTATAACGATGCCAAAGAAGGATAACTTCATACGCGCCTACATAAGTACACGCACCCATTTTTTTTATAAACACATTAATTAGCTATATCGCAAAGTACGCACTGTAGGCTTGTATAATGGGACAGTATGGTAACGAATAGAACACACATCACACTAATATTATAAAGGCGAAAGTTTGTGAGTGTGTATGTTTGTTACTTCTTCACGTCTAAACGGCTGGAGCGATTTTAATAAAATTTGTTATGGAGTTAGCTGACACCCTGGATTAACACATAGGCTACGTTTTACTGCAGGAAAATATCCATAATAAACCGCGGGTAAAACCGCGGGGCACAGCTAGTAGTATATAGTTACATATATAAGTATACATATACTAGCTGTCCCAGCGAACTCCGTACCGCTATAAAAAAATAGGGGTTAATGGTAGAAGGTTGAAAATTTAGGGTAGTATGTTTATTTTGTATGATGTATCATAAAAAAATAAAAACAAAAAAAAATCAAAAAAAATACGGTGGAACACCCTTAATATTTAGGGGTATAAAACATAGATGTTGTCCGATTCTGAGACCTACTGAATGTGCATATAAAATTTCAAGAAAATCGGTCGAGCCGTTTCGGAGTAGTTCAATTACGCACACCGTGACACGAGAATTTTATATATTAGATTCATATAGAAATACAGAAATGCTCGCATTCATCACACAAATATCTGCCCCCACCGGGATTCGAACCCAGGAACCCTCTCGAGTAGGCGACACCTCTAAACCTACATACCACTCGGCCGCGGAGGTCATCAGTTCAAAACGTACAACACAAGTAACAGCCTTCGCTTCGTCCACAGCACCGCAGTTGCGCGCTGATGATAATCTCGGGCGCGGCGTGCATCGCCAGCGCGCTGGAGGTGGGCCTATTCCCCGCGCTGGCGGCCTATGAGGGTCTCGCGCCCGCGCTGCTGCTCGCCGCGCTCCTCACAGCCGCCTACGCGCTCTTCGCGCTGCTGGCCGTGCCTGAAACTAAGGGACTCACCCCGGAGACTATATACGAGATGCTGGCGACAAACAACGATAAGAAAAACAGTGAAAACACGGAAAAGACAGCAAATAAGGATGTTGACGAGTTCAATCAAACAGATTCGTATATGACTCGGATTTAGAAAGCGATATATTGAAGTAATGTAGCTGTGCCGCTTGCCGACTTCTACGCGCAAACAACTATAAGCAAAATAGTGAAAACACGGAAAAGACAGCAAATAAGGATGTTGACGAGTTCGATCAATCAGATTCGTATATGATGCGGATTTAGAAAGCGATATATTGAAGTAATGTACGAGTAGCTGTGCCGCTCGCCGACTTCTATGCGAAGTTCGCGCTGTTACCTGTATCTGAAACTAAGGACTCCCCCCGAAGAACATCATCGAGATGCTTGTTTTAAAAACCGTTAAATAAAAAAGTGACAACACGGCAAAGGATGTGAAGGACTTAAATCAGTCAGATTCGTAAACAAACTACGAAATGTGTGTTACAAAAAGTGAAGAACAATAAAATGGTGATAACTCGGAAATGGCAGTTCATAAAGATGTGAATGAAGTAAACCAATCTGATTCGATTAATATAAATTATTATAAATTTTTAAGTAAACCTTGGCAACGTTATCTTTTTTCTTTTCAATAAAATTACCAAAGCTATGGTTACATAACTCGCGTTTAGAAAGTAATGTACAAATAGGGAATACAAAACGTTAGTCATGTAAGAATACTGTTCAAAAAATTCCTCAAATAGAAATATTGGGAAACCTTGTTGATTAGCCAATAAAAATGGGAATAACTCCAATCGGGGGTTTCCCCGTAGTTCTACTATTTTTTCATTTTAGTGGGACCATGAGGAAGCCCTATTCCTCGTGGTCATATTGCGGAGTTATTTTATAAAATTTTAATGGACAGTTCCTCTTATTCCTATGGTGCTATAATCTCACCAGATATTCCTAGATTATTTTTGGACATATAAACTTTTTGGTCTATTAATTTATTTATAACTAATTAACTAACGGATATAGTATCTATTAATTTATTTATAACTAATTACCTAACGGATATACTACCGTTACCGTATCCGCCCGGACAGTGGCAGACGCAAGTTCGAGTCCTGCCTGAGATCTTGCAGAGTTGATTTTTTTTCTAATTAATTTAAGGGATACGAAACTTTAACATTCAATAATTTGTTCTACTATTAGGACTACAAGAAATAGGGCTTCCTCGTGTTCCCATATGTGGGACTAATTAGTAGGACCACGAGGGAACGGGTCTTGAAGGGGGTTCGGCCGCGACATGACTTGCGTTTAGTTTTAAAATAACGAAAATGATTGGACTGTATGTAGTATGTGTATGACTTCCTATCAAACATAGTATTTGTACTAAATGTTTGTAATAACTATTCTGTAATTATTATAAGAAGAAGAGTCTGTAATGTTGATTGTATGTAATAAATTAATTTAAATAACAATTTATTGTTTCGTTCAAAGTGAGTTGGTTATAGCAAAGTTAGTTATAGATTAAGTAATTCTACCGAAAACGTTATCCCAAAACTTTTCAATTGCCATAGTGAAATGTAACGGCTTTATATCGTAGATATTGGAGGTTGTTACATCGAAGTTGTCAAAAACTTTGTTTGTCCTTCCTAATGGTTTGTTATTGTTTTCATTACCTGCCTCTTTAAATGTACACGCGCTTTGTAAATCGTTAAAAGCGGTTTCTAAAATACCTACTCAACTACTTTGTATCGCCATATTCGATGCTTAGTGAATGCGAATATTGGACAGTTCCTTTAAGAGCCCTTTTACAAAATTGCGCCGCTGCCGTACTAATCGGCGCGTAGGTAGATGTGCACTAGTATATTATATTGCATTTTACGGGTGATGTTTCGAGTCTTATAATATAATTATTAATGAAGTAATTATAAAAATAAATACATATTTCAGTAGTTCAATGATGGTAGATTAGTTTTATTAACGGTTTTGATAGTAATTCTATTTTAATCAACATTAAAATACGAGGTAAACCTACATTATTTTTTGAGGAAACTCACGGAGGTTAGCTGTTCTTTTTGATAATTAATGAGAAGGAAAATCAAAATTCTAATACATCAAGTTACAACAAAAACATATTTCTAATTTATTGAACATTATTGAGAGATTGAGGTGTTTGAAGTTGTGCATATTATCGTTTTTTCCGTAAACTAGCTGCGGTAGAACGATCAGTACAAAAAAAAGAAAATAGTATTTGCAAATATTCTACATTAACTTACAATAAGAAGAATAAATCTACTGTATACTTCTATTGGAAATAGTCAAAATCTTTTTTAAGGGGGTAAACGAGGCGCTCAAAAATTACGCTTTTTCGCAAAAAAATGTGAAAGGGCTCTTAAGTCCCGATTAATTAGTATAATGAGATGAAACGCAATTTTATACAAAATAATTAACAGATATTATGGTGCTTCTCTAAGATTTTATAGGATATACTGCTCATTTCGTAAAGTAAAATATATCTAAAGAAATATTCATTATAATTAATTAATTTGTATTCAGGAATCGTAGGAACATAGAAGTATATACCTTATAGCATAACATACTTAAAAATGATATATTTTAAAACATTATATTTTTTTTTAATAATACGTTTAGTCGGCGACGTGTGGTGCGGAGTGGTGTCAGGTAAGCTCCTCTTTAAAAAGGTCGCCAGATGTTCAGTCGGCACTGGTGTCGATTCTGGCTTGATTATCTAAACCTAAAATTAAATTTGACAACAGTATATCTGTGTCATTCTCTATACAGAATGAAAAGGAGAGCCTGATGCTAAATTTAGTTTTACGTTTAGAGAATCATGTCAGAATTGACACCAATCTCACCACAAACGAGTTTTAACTCGTGAATTTTAATTCACTTCGTGGCGAGACTTCAACCGCGCGAACCTCAGGGAGAAATTGGTATTCGTACGCAACTATTTTGCGATGTCTTCCGGCTTGGTGGCATTACAATGCAAGCGGCAAACATACAACAGAGTCACAGCCTCACAGGTACAGATTGTGGCGAGCGGGTTTCCTCTTCTTCTTCGGTGAGAGAAGCGAATAATAAATTCTCAAAGCACAGTGGTGCACGTCGGTTTCCAACGCGCATCGCAATATGGTATCAATCACACGCAGACTTGAGATGACAATAATATACACATGCGTGTCTAGCAATGAAATACGTAATTAAATAAGCACTCAATCGACACGGGCGTTAACTTGGCAGGCATCTTATTGAAGTTATACTTCTTTAGGCGCGTTATGAAAAAATGATGAGAGTGAAATTTTAAGATGCGCGCGCATCACTGTAACACAAAATTTTAACAGCATGAAGTTGGTCGCTTTAGCGACCAACTTCATGCTGTTACTTTTGTGTTTACCGCACATTAAGAAAATCTACCAACAAAATAGAAATAGAATCTCCATTTAGTGGGTGCTAACGACTGCATTGTGAAGGCCTATCAAAAGTATTTATTAATCTGGAACAACGGAACCAAAGCGCGATTCAGGAGACTACAGCGCCATCTCTTGACCATTGGTGTAGTAGAACCAAAAACCACATCTTTATTTTTTGTAATAAAGTAACAGTTATAGGTATTCATATTTATAATATTTATCCACATGTTTCTAGTTTGTATATTCGGAATACGTGTTTGAGTTTCATACAAGTGCAAATCACATATGTTCTAATAAATTATATTCAGTAGCGATTTTAATTGAATATTTTGATTATTTATTTATTTTTTCAAATTAAAACTGAACTTTATTGACTGTGTCCTTTTCCAGACTTTTTATTAATTTATTGTAATTAATTATTTGCATGCAATTAAAAACTAATTTTAAACGATGCCAAAGAAGGATAACTTCTCACGCGCCTACATAAGTACACGCACCCATTTTTTAAGTAGTACATAGGAATTAAAGTAAAATGCCATTAAGGAGGACTGAATTTGATAGGTAATTCATACATTATAACTGAATTTAAATATTTTTGTTCCTAAAAAATACTTGGTCTCTAGACACTTTGGATGAGACTTCAGCCCCCTATTAATAAATGAAGTAGTTACTAATCCAAGTGTAGTCGCTTAAATTCTACATGTTACTGTCTCTGATTATTGAATGTAAATAGCATTTGAGGGACATGAACAAAACTCGGCGTAGTTAGTCTAATCTTGTTCCTTGTTTATTAATAACGAATATCTTTGAAAACGTCATTATTTAAATAATTTCTATATATTCTTATACGAGGGAGACTCGAGAGAAATAAATTACCAATTGGAATTATCACTTGTGTTTGCGGCTCGGTCGCTAAGCGACCGCGTCGATACCGCGTTGTGGCCTGTGGACGACCGACTACGCTGATTTGTCAAACACACACAATACAACCACTGATAATATTGCGGAATTACGCAACATAATTGGAATTAAGCAATTCATTTATTGGAATCAATTCAGATAGCAACGTTGACGATGTGGCTGATGCCGGTGCTGCAACGGCTTCTGTAAAAGTCGTGTTGATATGTGAATGAAGTGAACGCAGTGTTTTTATTTTCCATTGGTTATTAAGTCGAGGTAAGTTAAAAAGCTATGTATTTTAAGCAGCATTAAAAGTATTTGTTTCTTAGGTTTTCACGCACATCACTCATTAAATAAAACTAGTTTTTACGGGTTAATGCACGAAACTTTATTTATTTATTGACGTTTCGCAGCCTTTTCAGGTCTGCATCGTCAGAATAATGATTTTTTATTTAAAATTGTCGAGCTACCTTCGAAAGACTTATATTGAGCGTTCGGTTATTTCATTGGAAGATTTTTAAAATTTTATTGTCTATGTATGAATTTATTATTTAATTTAGTTAATAAAGTTTAATAAAAATTTTAAATAAAATACTTTATTAACTAAATTAAATAATAAATTCATACATAGACAATAAAATTTTAAAAATCTTCCCATAAAAACTACCATTAAAAGTGTTTATTTTTTTGTCCTCATCTTATTAACGTGGTAGCTATAGAAGCATGAATACATATTATTCTGGAAAGCAAGCTGGAAACTAGGTACTCATAAATAAAAGTAATAAAAGAAGTCAGTTTCATTTAAGAGGACAATTAATGTTGTTCATAATATTTGTACAAAAATTGTCTCGGGAAAAAGTTTCGTCTCTAAATATTTTCTTAAGTCCCCAGAGTAAAGACTTTAAGGGAAAAATATTTACAGTTATTTTTTGTTTTTCTATACCAAGTCCTGCAAATTATTTCAATTCATCTGGTGTTAAGTGTCCGTGGACTGTGGAGTCCAGATGCGATGCTGAAACACCAAAAGCTGACGAAATAGTTATTTTTGAAGTGAAACTTCTTTATCGGCGTTGGAAAAAAATTTACCGTCACATTTTTCGGTTACGCGTCACATTTTTCCGTTACGCGCCATCTTTTTTTATATTAATAGTTGATAGCTGAATGATCACACTGTCGCCGGCGAGAGCTCTCTCTACTCGTTTGTAGCTGAGTGACAATAGTTATTAAAGATAAGACTCGCTCAGCCAAACTCGCATAGCGATACTCGCTCAGCGATACTCGCTCAGCGGTACTCGCTCAGCGGTACTCGCTTAGCGATACTCGCTCAGCGATACTCGCTCAGCGATACTCGCCTTAGATTACTGAGCCGTGTAATCATAACAGTTTCATAGGCAGTAATTTGTATTCATGTCTATGATAATAAAATCCTTTTGTTTAAACTTTATCTAATTTAACTTTATTTAACCAATTTCTGGAAAGTTGCATGTAGATCATTTTTCGAAAAATAATACCATAAAGAAGTTTCACTTCTTACGTGTGTACACTAGTACACGCACACATTTTTTTTTTCCGGTGACACTGTTATTTTACTGTTCCAGTGTCATTATGGGTTTGCTGGACAAGCTCTCGGTGTGGCTGGGACGTGGAAGAACCGAGGTGACTGTGTTGGTGCTAGGGCTGGATAACAGTGGCAAGTCTACACTACTGGACGCACTGCGGCCGCCCGAACAACGCGTACACCACAGCCAGCCAACCGTCGGGCAACAGCAGGACCACTTCCAGAGTGAGCATATGATGTACTATAGGAAAACCTGTTACTGTGTGGATAAAAACGACAAATCTAGGCTGCTGAACGTATTACGGCCACCTGGACAAATAGCCAGATGAGAGGCAAGAGGGAATAGGACAAGTTGTGAGTATGGATGGAGAAAGAGACAGTGCTGGTGCAGAAGTTGGAAAACGGTGTTAAGCGTTCTAATGAGTGTTTGTTATCAAAATAACACATAAAATTCAAAAATTCAAAATTCAATATAGTTTATGCAGTCTAGGCTGCATAAACTATATTGAATTCACAAGCACTTGTGAATGTCGAAAAGCTACGCCATCGGTTCGCAAATCTGCGGCGGGAGACCTTGTACTGAGAAGAACCGGCAAGAAACTCAGCAAGGGCTGTTTTTTTCTCCCTGTATTATATACAGAGTCGTCAAATTGAAAAATGACTTCAATATGAGGTAACTCATAAAGTCACTTTCCATTACAAACAAAAAAAATGCAAATAATATAAAAAATATGACTATAAAATAAAAAAAATATTTATTTTTATTTATTTATTTATTTATTCATGGAAAACAAACAGCATGTTAAAACTAAGGATAAAACGAGATGATGTAGCATTGATATGCCTTATACAGTTTTCACAAATACAACTCAAATAAAATATACTTAATCCAATCGAGGCCGTAGATTAATTTAAAACTATATAAAAATAAAAACACAGAAGTAAAAAATTAAGCAAAAATATATAAAAAACTGGTTTAACACAGTTTAGGAATGACGCGTCCTACCGTCTAGGCAAAAAAAAATAATAATGAACGATTAAAGTTTAGTACTTACAACTACTAATTAATAGTACATAGTGAACTAAAAGCAGACTCATCTCCGCTGGCACCCGTTCACGAGCATGACGCATGAACCAGCCATCGCTTTTTTCGCATACGTTGTTCAATACCTCATCGTTGCTATATAAAATCTCACATACAGCTACTGGCAAAGCGTATCATAAAGCTCTCTGGCGTCTTCAAGAAACTAAGAGATTCGGCTAACGGGGTACTTACTGTTATTTATAAAGTACTTTGTGAATAAGTGATTAGTTATTGTATATTGGTATGGGGTGCCGCTGCTAAAACCGCACTTTTAGTAGCAGAACGAGCCAACAGATCTTTGCTTAAAATTATTTTTAGACTGCCGTTTAGATATCCTACAATAGATCTGTATGGGGTTGCCAAGATCCTATCAATCCGTCAGCTATTCATCCTTAAGTTGTCTTTCATTGCTCACTCACATTTGATAAGTTCACAGGACTAAGCACGCCATTGAAAAAATGAGTTTTTAGGAGACCTATTCCAGCTATAAATTCACACTTTGCTAGTAGGTTTGGTGCCTTTATCCTAGCACGATACTACAATACAGTACTGAGATTCTGTTATTTGAAATCCTGCCCTGTTTGTAAGGCGAAAATGCTTTTGGAAAACTGGCAACTAGAGAGAGAGAGTTAGTAGCCAGTCTAGTGATCACATTATCTTTCGTTCGCTTATACAATAAAGTCCCAAGCAATATCCAAGAGTTAACCATAAATAAATTCAAAGATAGTATAAAAAAAAATACTTATTAAAAAAGCTTGTTACAAAGTGTCTGATTATATTACAGACAAAAATGCTTGGGTTTGAACTGTTCCAATCATTCCAACAGGTTGTAACAACATAATGATTTGTAAATGTGGTTACATTAGACTTTTAATGTTGTGGAGATTTTTTTCGCTCGTTTTTCTCCGCAGCTGAAAAATATGTACATAACGAGTGGGAGGAAAAAAAAAATTTGGACGATTCAAAAGAGTTGTACTATACATCCAATTTGAATAAAGATATATTGATTTCTGATCCCTGATTTCAACCAGTCTATAATGCTTAGCCTGGTGTATTACTCCACTCCTCCTGACCTTCAGTGCATTTGCAGTTCATTTGCGTAAATATCTGTTTAGTCTGTACCCTAGTAGTGCGGACGTTAAAAAGTTGAATCTATTTTTGGGCAGGCAGTGGTGTGTCCTTCAGTGCGTGGGATGTGTCGGGCGCGCCGCGACACCGCGCGCTGTGGGAGCGGCATTACCGGCGCGCGCACGCCGTCATCTTCGTCGTCGATTCGGCCGACCATCTGCGACTCGGTAACACGCCCCGCTACTATCCATAAATAGGCTGATGCTGATGACGTCATGCTTGGGCCGGCAGAGGCTTTTTCGTCTACCACGCGCTGAAGGAGCGGCAATACCGGCGCGTGCACACCGTCATCTTCGTCGTCGATTCGGCCGACCATCTGCGACTCGGTAACAAGACCCGCTACTGTCCATGAATAGGCTGATGCTGATGACGTCATGCTCGGGCCGGCAGAGGCTTTTTCGTCTACCACGTGCTGAAGGAGCGGCACTACCGGCGCGTGTACGCCGTAATCTTCGTCGCCGATTCGGCCGACCATCTGCGACTCGGTAACAAGACCCGCTACTGTCCATGAATAGGATGATGCTGATGACGTCATGCTTGGGCCGGCAGAGGCTTTTTCGTCTACCACGCGCTGAAGGAGCGGCACTACCGGCGCGTGTACGCCGTAATCTTCGTCGTCGATTCGGCCGACCATCTGCGACTCGGTAACACGCCCCGCTACTATCCATGAATAGGCTGATGCTGATGACGTCATGCTTGGGCCGGCAGAGGCTTTTTCGTCTACCACGCGCTGAAGGAGCGGCACTACCGGCGCGTGTACGCCGTAATCTTCGTCGTCGATTCGGCCGATACATCTGCGACTCGGTAACACGCCCCGCTACTGTCCATGAATAGGATGATGCTGATGACTTCATGCTTGGGCCGGCAGAGGCTTTTTCGTCTACCACGCGCTGAAGGAGCGGCACTACCGGCGCGTGTACGCCGTAATCTTCGTCGTCGATTCGGCCGACCATCTGCGACTCGGTAACACGCCCCGCTACTATCCATGAATAGGCTGATGCTGATGACGTCATGCTTGGGCCGGCAGAGGCTTTTTCGTCTACCACGTGCTGTAGGAGCGGCAATACCGGCGCGTGCACACCGTCATCTTCGTCGTCGATTCGGCCGACCATCTGCGACTCGGTAACATCCCCCTCCACTCTCCACCAATGGGTTGATACTGATGACGTCATATTTGGCCAGGCAGAGGCGTGTTTTTCAACCGCGCGCTGCGGGAGTGAAACCTTCATCTTCGTCGAAGTTTCGGCCGACCAACTGCTTCTTGGTACTCTTCGTGGATACATTAAGTTCCTGAGATCATTACAACAGCACTTGTGGTATGCTTATTATAAATAACGTCGTAAGTCAGGTAATCATAGCACTACGGTGTCCTATTGTACTATTGAGAACCTCCACTGTTTTTGTTTGCGAGTCGAGTGGAGTGGAGTTGGAGTCATTTGCCGGACTTTTAGCAGATATATATATAAAATAAAATAAAGCGTGGGAAACAAGTATATAGCCCGCTTGATGGTAAGTGGCCGCCATAGCCTATACACACTTGCAATTCGCAAATATCACTTACGCCGTTGCCTACCCTGCTCTATCGACTACCCCGTGGAGCCTTGGAAGCTTACCCACAGACAGAAATGTAACACCACCAAATGGCAGTGTTATTTCACTGTGACTTTCTATAAAGTGAAGGCTACTACACTAACGGCTATACGAACAATACAAACGGTTATATTACTATACTCTACCTCTCTCATACCTACATCTGTCGGTGCAGTGGTGGCGCGCGAGGAGTTGGAGCTGATGCTGGCTCACCCGGACATGTTCGGGCGCCGGCTGCCGTTGCTCGTGTTCGCCAACAAGTGCGACGCGAACCACGCGCTCGCGCCCATGCAGGTCGCTGCTGGTGAGCTCCTACTGAATAGCTACCATACGTATATCATCATCACGTCCATCTTTTAAGGTCCCCACCTCTAAGGCAAGCTTTTCATATAAAAATAATAGACAAAATGGGGCAAGAGCCGCGCAGTGCGAGCTTGTACTCACAAATCCACATTTCGTGCGCGTTAGGTCGGTTAGATCATTTTGCGGGTGCGCGGCCATTCGGAGACGGGTTCCGCGACCACACCCGCCCTCTCGGCATGCACTAGGGGGACCGCGGTCCTCATAGTACGTGTCGGGTGACGGTGCAGGAGTATTGTCTGGTTTTTAGTGGCCCTGTTCAGGGCGAAAGTAGGGCCCTGTTCACATCAGCGAGCTCGAGGGCTGGCTGAAAAGGACAGGGAGGAGTCCCACATACCTTCTTCTCGCTCCCCCAGTGGTTGAAGGATGCATAAGGCATTTTCCAGACACAAAAAAAAAGGTCGGTTAGACCCGGTTGTATCTACAGTCATTAGAACTCGCTAACGACTGCAGATACAGCCAGGACCGACGGCTTAACATACCTTCTGAAGCACGTAGGAGCTCAAGTTAATTTGTTTTTGGTGTGGCACATGCTGTAAAAAGCTATAAAGCATAAAGCTTGTTGTATGATAACTAAACTGACTACAAAGCTGACTTCATAAGCATTTTAATACACTTTGTATGAACAATTGGTCACTTTGAAATCTCATTGCTTACATGGGATATTTAAAAATACATTTTTAGAAAGAAATCTGAGCTTGTCAAGAAACAAATTGTTAACTAATTCTTTTATTATTTCACAAAGCACCAAATCCAAATTGGATTTCAGACAATTACATGACGAGTGACAAGTTGCCAGGATTTACTCCCTGGGGCTATTAATTTGTCCGAGCGACTACTGTTGTTCCAGAGAAGCCAATTAGCCGGCGGCAGCGCTGCAGTGCTGCAACGCTCTTTGAAATAACACCATCACCGTGCGCAAAAGGCGTTTTGATTTTGTTACTAATTACGTTGCTACTAATGAATAAAACCCCAAGTTTTACTGTACTTCTAATTGTCTATTTTATATTTTCTTTTAATTATTAATAAAAGGGGTGATGACGGGGTACAGTAAACGAAATTCTATTTAGTCCGTCAGTTAGATGTTCAAAAAATAATGGACACTTATTTTTTCTTTGGGCAATCAACCAAAAAATGACAAAGTTATAGCGCGTCAAAGTTTGGGAGTAGGGGCTCGTGACGTCACTTTTGAGTGAATTTTCACTAATAAGTGTACTCAAACGTGACGTCATGCGACTTTTCAAATCAATATATCTCTGCAATGTTTATATTATATGAAAAAATACGTGTCCAATACTTTTTGATAATCTACTTGATAAACGAAGAAAAAAAAATAGTCATCATCCCTATTGGCAATGAGCAAATTCTTGTTGGTGTCGTGTAGTTTCTGATAAAAAGATTCGCTTCATTAAAGTAAGTTAATCGCCATCGAGCTCCTCAATCATCATCAGCCAATTAATGTTCTCACTTCTGGAGTATAGGCCTTCCTTATGGATGAAATAGGGAGATTGATGGGTGCTAGCAAATTCAGATGCAGCTGGAACCGACGCTTTAACATGCCTCCCGAAGCACGAAGGAGCTCGATATAATAAATGGTAGTTCAACTACAGCCGACTACTGCTAAAGTTGCTTAACTTCAAAGATTGCAGCTGAATGCGCTTACCATTTGCGCCATCGAGTTATATCGATGGAGTCCTCACATAACCTCGTCGCAATCCCCCCTCCTGGAGAAAAGAGAGGGACCACGTGAACTTTATTGATGTAAAATTCTCAAGTATCATCTTCTGTTGTTCCCCAGCGTTAGGGCTAGAGCGCATCACGGACAAGCCGTGGCACATCTGCGCGTCAAACGCGCTGTCTGGCGCGGGCCTAACCGACGGCATCGCCTGGCTGGCGAGACAGATCAGGGACTTGCATATACAACACCACTAGCGGTTGTAATGAGCTCTTCAGAAGAGGAGAGGATGTCAATTAAAGTAAATAAGTAGTTTGTAGTTGGGGAAAGTGTAATATAAGTTTATTTTTTGTCTATGTTCTGTCTGTCTGGACGTGGTTTTACTAGTTTCATATGCCGCCATCTTGAGCAGCTGTTATCAATACTTAAATATTCCTTTTGTTCAGTTTGTCCCTTCTTACATTATTCCTCATTTGACCCTAGATATATTTCTTACACCCTTTTCATACTTTCTTAACTTTGGTGAAGTTAGCGCTGTAAGGCTTGTAAAAAAGTAAAAATCATTTTCCGCTTACATAAATATTTTAGAGATAAAGAAAATTTTTGAAAGCAAATAACTTATAAATAAAACAGGTTTAAGTTTCAACGGGCTAGATGCACTGATTTTATTTATTTATTGACGTTTCGCGTCCTTTGCAGGAATGCATCCGAATAAATAAATAAAATCAGTGCATCTAACCCGTTGAAACTTGTTTTATTTAATGAGTGATGTGCGTGAAATGAAAACCAAAGAAACAAATAACTTTTATTTGACGAACTCCGTAGCCGAGTGGTTAGTACGCCGGGTTTCATGGCGTCGCCGACTCGAATCCCGGTGGAGGCAGATGTTTGTGTGATGAATACGACCATTTGTACTCCAGTCATGGACGTTTTATATGTTTTTCTATATAAATATACTTATATATGTACAGTATATGTATTCTATCCGTTACCCTAGTATCTCACAACACAAGCCTTATAGTGCTTACCTTGGGGCTAGGCTAATTGGTGTGAGTGTTGGAAATATTTATTTATTTAAATAAATGTTTTGTATTCGTATATACGAACTTAAGCTGCTACGACAGTTTGCGTTTTTCAAGATAGTTGTTGTGTTATGGGATACTCGGGTATTGATAAAATAAGAATGGTCGGGCATAGCGATATTTCTGCTTGAATTGGAGCACCCGCCGGGGGCTGTAACCTCCACCTTACAGAAGATCACAGTAAAATAACACTACCTTTTGGTGGTGTTGTCTTTCTGTCGGTGAGTAAGAGTAGGGAAGTAGTAGTAGGCTCCACGGGGTAGGATATGCAGTGATATTTTTGGTACCGCAAGCACGGTAATATTATCTAAACAGTATTGTGACTCCGCCCTGTCCTTGAAATAAATGCCTACGGCCGAGCGCTGCGTTAGCACGCGGTAGGGCCGCCCGCCTACAGTATTTTATGTAGTTTTGTTTTTAACGCGAGTGTAGGTAGATTACTCGTTTGTCTCTTTTTTCATCCTAACCACTTATTTATATATTATTCCAGATATTTTGCCCGATGGAAAAATCGAAATAGCTAAATATTAGAAACAAATTACTAGTAGATAGGTATATAAAAAATATTCTATAAAGGTAAGACACCTTTCCAATATTTCAGGTAATTTAAAAAATGATATCTCTGGGTGCGTTATTGAAGAGTTCAATCAACCAAAAACAGCAATTGTGCTGTTGTACGATATTGATCGTCGTTTGTTCGATTCCATACTAAATTATGTAGGTATCTACTTAATTCAATCAAATATTTACAATACAAAACGCGCGTTTAAGCACGGCTTACTGCATAAAAAACAATTCATACCGTTCGGTCGTCGTTGCGGCGCGGCGGCGCATTCGCGACTGGGTGCCCGCCGAGAGTGCCTCGAACTCGAGTGGCGTAGGTATGACTCGCTTTCCGACCGTTTGTATGAAGATAGAATACTGTATGATATTATTACCGTGCCGCAAGTATCTAAATGCCGGTGACCTTTTACCATGATGCAAGCCATATGCTTGTTTGCCACCCTTTTAACATTAAAAATACATACAACGATACATGATATTTTTGTAGAAATATATCCAGCCCTGTCTCAGATACAAATTAATGCTCGTTTTCAACATACAAATATTTACCCCAGGTGGGATTCTAACCTAGAACCTCACAGTAGGCAACACCTTGAAAACCGAAAGTAACATGAACGAGTTCCTAATTTATTATGGGACAATGGACAATACTCTCAGGTGTTGTGTGCCAGATTGGATAAGGTAGTCTTTTGGGGTTTAAGCAGTGGCGGACTAAGCCCGTCAGAGGCCCGGGGCGGCAAAGCTGAATGAGGCCCCCAGCTTTAAAAAAAGAATGTAGATTCGTATGTTTATTTCGTTAAAACCGGTCTTGTCAAATTCACCATAATTTTGTATCAGATTGTCAACTGTTACAACCAAAGCGTCATCTGAAGCCTCTAGCATAAACTTTGTTTCAATAATTTGGAAAATATTTTTTATTTGTTTAATAGCCCAATTGGAAAATCCTTGTATAAAGCGGTCTATGCATCTATCATCTATATCTCTATCATTACATTGACCGACGTATTTCTTCTTAAATTGATAATCCAGCATCATGAGCTGATTCAACCGGCATCTTCTTTTTACCTTCACTTTTCCTGGTTTCTTGATGTTGATGAACCACCTAAATACTTATTCAAGGCGTTTAGTTTGGTGATTCCTGTATCCAGAGTAATTTTTGGAGACCGCAAATATTGTTAGACTTAAATAGAATGTAGTGAATGTAAATGTATGCGCACAAGAGTAAATTATTTGCGCTTCATTTATTCAGGGAATTCTGAGGAAGTACCCGCTACAAAGACGGGAATTCCCCAGCAAAGTTAAAAGAAATATTAGTACCGCGTAAAAAGTCTAGATTACTGTAGTGTTTTGATCTTGATGAAATTATGTAGGTACTAAGCACATTTTTAAAGTCTTGTTTAGGATTTGATCAGGGTAACGCGGAGGCATTTGGGGGCCCCCAAGATCGGAGGCCCGGGGCGGGCCGCCCCTTCCGCCCCCCTGTTAGTCCGCCACTGGGTTTAAGTCAGATACTGTAAAAAATTCTGTTAGATTATTCTTCTAATTTAATTTACGCTAAGTATTGAAGTAGATGAGTAATAATACAAAAGCTTACAAGCTTTTGTAAATACCATGTCCAATATAGATAATTATGTGATCATATTCACTCACTTATTGATTTTGCTAGGCTAAAGCTGCGTATTCATTAGGCAACATTTGTGTATAAACAGTGTTTATAAACAGTGTTTAACAATGTTGCATCACCTCCGCATACAATCTAGAAATTGTTTTTAAAAAAAGGTGATGGATGAACTTCATAAACGGTTTATCAACAAAATATGTCGCCTAATACGCGAATACGCGGCATAGAACTCACGGCGAGATTTTCTCCCGCGCAAACCCCGACTGCGGGACCGCAACTCGAGTGGAATGTTGAATTGTCTTAGATTAAATCAAAACCAGATAACAACATAAGCATCTCTCACCTTAGATTAAAACAAAAAGGGTAGATACGGCACTAGCCTCACAAAAGTGATCCGCACCAATTGTGGCCCACGACCTTAATCGCTTTAGTCACAACTTGACATGCAAACGACGTACATGTGAACGCCAAAAAGAAATATTGCTAATATTTTGTGTTTATATGATAAAACAATCCCTAAGTGTGTTTTAAAAAAGTGCTCAAATTGCTCAAGAACTAAATATAAAACCCACGGCATCACTTTCCTTTCGTAAGTACTATTAAATATATTTTTTCATAAAAAATGTTGTTTGTTTTGAATCTTTTTCGGTAGTGACGTCGAGTACTGGTCGCCTGATTGGTCGGTAATGCAGTGACGCGGATCTCGCCGTCTCGTTTGCGCTGCCGTTGAAACTTAACGTGCTGTTTCGCTCGGGTCGGTAATGCAGTGACGCGGATCTCGCCGTCCTGTTCGCGCTGCCGTGGGATCAGTTTTTGTAAGCGTAGATACTATCTCCCCTTTATATTCAATCTAAGTTTCTCACACGCCCACGTCTGTATATAAATAAACATTCATTCGAGAGAGCGAGACAGAACTGTACGCTTCAACGCAGCGCGAGCGAAACGGCGAATCCGCTTCCGAGTCCGTACGGTAAAGCTGTCTGTACTGGCTAAGTACGTATTGTTGTCTTTTTCTTGATAACAAAATGGCGATAACGTAAATAACATTCACGACAAACCGTGATTTTTGAGAAAAAAATGATTTTACAGATTACGAATGAAAAGTTTTGCCGAGGCATTTGTTATTTGATTTTGAACTATTTGTATTCTTTCTAAAAGTATCGAAGGCATTGTTTTATCTTTATAACACAGAATATACACAATATTCTGCATGTGCACTCAATATAAATATTGAGTGCACATGCAGCGTGTTTGAATGTTCAATTGTGACTAAAGCTAGTTTTGGTGAGCCGCGAGTGCCGTATCTTCCCTTTTTGTTTTAATCTAAAGGAATTGTACGTAAAACGTCAAAGCATAATTCACCACTCTGTGAGCGCGTACGGACGCTAGGGATGGCGATTCTTTCCGAAAAAGATCGATTTTTAAATCGATTCGAATCGTGACCTAATGAATCGATCCACAAAAAAATCGAGGCCAATAAGATCGATTACTGTAAATCGATCTTTTTTAAAGTTTTTGTTTATAATGTAATATATATCTATTTTATTAGAAACAAGATACATATTATAATTTAACGATCTCTTGTCAGTAAAATCAGGTAATTCGATGTTAAAAAATATTTTTATTCAAATATTACAAACAAACGTAACCAATTTTATTAAAGAGGGGCGAAGGAATCCAAACATACAGCCCACTCGCGAGTTTTTAAATAATTAACTCTTAATCTGGTTGCACTCTTATAATGCAGGGGCATTCAATTAATTGTAAATACTTTTTTGGTTTATATCAAAAAATAAAATAAAATCGAATGTCGATTTTCAAGGGTGTAATATCGATTCACTGAATCGATTCAGCACTACATATCGATTTATAAAATCAATCTTTTTGGGTCCAAAAATCGATACTTCGATTAATCGATCTCAGATCGTCATCCCTAGCGGACGCGATTTCTCGTAGACGCAGTGGGTTTAGTCTGATCTCTGAACACTGAAAGCTGCGGTAGCGAGAGTATTGAAATAAAACTGCTCTCAGAACCGCTCCATGAGTTCTTAGCCTTATTGTTATGTTCGATAAATAAATGATTCATTATGTCTTTAATTCTT